TCCTGCAGGGCCATAGCCCCTCCCCCCCCACAGGGTCCCATCCACCCTGCAGGGCCACAGCCCCCCTATGCAGAGCCCGCAACTTACCCCCTGCAGCAGCAGTTGGAGTGGGGAGCTCAAAACCCGCACCTGCCAGCCCCCCTGCAGCGCGGAGCAGCCAAAAGTGGCTTGGAGGCAGCACTGGCTGTGCTGCTCATCAGGGGCCAGCACCACTCATGGGGACCATATCACACTGAGCTGGGTCTCCTTGCAGTGCCAGGCTGGACCAGTTCCATGGCGGCAGGACCTGGTGTGGCATGCAGGGACAGCAAGCCAAACTAGGTCCTGCCGCCATGGAACTGGCCCGGCCTGGCAGCATGAGCGGCCCCAGTACCAGTAAGATCTGGCTTGGCTCAGTGCATTGTCCCTGCACTCCACGCCAGGTCCTGCCTCTGATGGCAGCGCTGCTTGCCCCGCAGTGCCTGTGAGGAGGTGGTGTACAATGGGACCCAGCCTGGCACGGCTCACTACTCTGGCTTTGCACTGAAGCAGGCTGCATGGCTCCGGGAGGTGCAGCTCCTGTGCAAATGAACACTAGCTGTTCAGCCCAGGCCAGATTGGGTCAGGCCAGTGTGGAGCCACATGTCCCACTCTGGTGCAAAGCAGACTAGCAAGCTGCTCTGGGCTGGGCTGGGTTAGGTCCCGTCACGTCTCTGTTGCAGCCGCCATGTGCTGCCAGCTCCACCGTGGCTGCTCGTGCTGCTGGCTTCACACTCTGGCCGCTCGCCCCGGCTCTGCACACCTGTAGGGACGGCTCTGGGGTTGCCACACACCTGCTCCCCCACCTGGCAGCAGCAGGCAAGCGGGGCTGTGGCTATGCTGCAGGTACAGCAGGCAGTGATGCAGCACTGTGTGACCCGGAAGACTGTGCACTATGGGGCCAGGCTGGGTTCATTCAGTATGTATGGAGCCTGGGTCACCCAGCACGATGTCACTGCCCACAGTGCCTGTAGCAGAGCTGCTGCCTGCTGCCGCTGGTGCCGCAAGGGCCGGGTAGCAGGGTAGGCACGTGGCAGCTCCCACTTGAGTCCCTCTATGTCCCCACCCACTGGGACATCCCCCTTGCCGCTCCCTACACCCCCTGACATCCCCCTCCACTCCCCGTAGCCTCCGACATCCCCCTCCGCTCCTGACACCCCCAACATCCCCCTGCCACTCCTCATGCTCACCCACACCCATAAGCTCCCCCACCCCATATCCCTAACTTACCCTTGACAGAGCTGGGGGCAGTAGGAGCACCACAGAGATGCTCTGCCCAGAAACCAGTCTCTCTCTCCTGGAGGACTGACTCCTGGGTTGCCTCCAAGTGTTTTGCCCCGCTGTTCTGTGGAACCTTTTTGTTTGTTTCTTTGTTTGTTTGTTTGGGGTTTTTTTGACCCCTGGATATCCAGGGGTCTAATTTTGCCCCTGGGCTGCAAACTTGCAGCGTGGGGGAACTTTTTTTCATTCCTGCATGTGCCTCTTGCAGTGTCTCAAAGGGCTTTGAGACACTGTAAGATGCACTTGCACATTTGTGTGGATACACCCCCAGAGGAGGTGGTGCAGGCATCTACCCTGGATATATTCAAAAGGAGACTGGATGCACACTTTGCTGGGGTTATTTGACCCCAGCACTTTTTCCTGCCTAGAGCAGGGGAGCTGGACCCGATAATCTCATGAGGTCCCTTCCAGCCCTAAACTTCTGTGAAACTGTGGGTGAGGAGCATCCAGACTACTGCCCCCTCTCCCCCCTGGGTCCCAAATCACCGTCTCCATTCCAATTGCCCCCTCTACCTCCTATCACCCTCTACTCTCTCAGATTACTGCTGTACTGTCCAAGAGCAGCAGAGGCACCAGTGAGGGGGGGGGGGGTTCCCCCTTCCTGCCTTCTCCTCCTGGGTTCCCTGCAGACCATGATAACCCTGCAAACCCAGATCTAGTCCTTACTGAGCTCCACAACTGAAGGGTGGGTGGGGGGAGCAGGGATTAAGGAACTACCAGACAGCTGTGGGGCCTGGTGGGGGCTAGGTCCTGCTACATAGGATTGACATGGGTTGCTGTAAAGGTGGGTGCTGGCGGGGAGAAGGAAACTCCTCCCACACACCCTGCTGCTGCCACTGCCCTGTTCTCAATCTGATTGGGAGGACAGGGCTGTGATCCGGGAGTCAAGGGGAGATCTGGGGGCTGATGAGGGGCGGTGGGACAATTTGGGAGTGGAAGTGGGGATCCAAGTGGCCCAGGGGACCCTCTCCTCCTCTCCTTCCCAGCCTATAATGCGGCTTAGGGCTGGCTAGCAGGGCAGGTATGGAGCCAGCTTGCCGTGCCTAGCCATACCTGTTTGTCGGCCCTCTGATTGCAATGCACATTAGAGAGGATATTAACCCAAATAGGTGACTGATGATCGCTAGTACTTATTAACTGTCATGGAGACTAACATTGCTTAGAATTAACACATTAGAGTTAGCATGTGCTATCTCAACCTCTGAGAGGGTTAATACTTTTGCTGATACTGCAGAAAGTATGTTGCCTCTGCTGTCAGGATTTAGCCTGGCGGGGGGAAATCTTCATTCTGCTTTCCTAAAATAAGGTGTATGTCTTATTTGGAAGTGTGTGATAAAATACAGTAATTCCAGAAAGTATCACTGCTGATAGGTCCGAAAGAAAAGGAAAGTTCATTTCAACCTTCACCTTCTCGTGGCAGTGGAAAGTAAAGGAGGCTCTTGAAGTCTCCTTTCCAAAGCTATAAGAGCCTTTTCAGGTGGCCATTGTTTTCAGTATGAGGAAGACCTCTTTAAGCATGATTATACAGTCACTTCTATAAGGCCGATTTAATACTCCAGTTTCTGAGTATTGCTTTAGGGGGTGGAGGAAAGAGCAGAATGTTGTTACTTGGATTGGATAAGATTTTTTTATCTACTTAGTAGGGGTGTGCAAAGCAGGCTGTATTTGATTCGGATTTGGATTTGGCCTGTTTCGGGGGACAGTGATTTGATTCGTTGATCACTGTCCCAATTCAATTTGGACGAATTTGAATATGAAGATTTGATTCTGATTCGAAGAACCAGCGATTTGACCACAGACAAGCTTTATATGTTGGTTTTTTTTCTACATACCACAAGGCACCAGGCATGGCTCATGAACGCTAGGATGGCGGGGTGGATGGAGCATCCCACAGGAGCATGGAGGGCCCCTTGCATGCTCGGCAGCGGACCCAGAAGTGGACTGAAAGTACTTCCGATCCACTTCCAGATCTGCTGCTGAGCGTGCAGGGGACCCCCCCCTCTGCCTCCCCTAGCTTGGTGATCGGCTGCGGGAGGACCCCGGGTGCCCCCTCCCCCCCCCGACCCAGGAGGCACCAGTCACTGAGCCAGGGGGAAAGGTGGGTGCTTCTGGTCCACTTCTGGGTCTGCTGCCAAGCACACTGGGGGCCCTCCTGTGGGACGCTCCATCCACCCCACCATCTCAGCTTTCACGAGCCGCCTGGTATCTCGATGTATGTAGAAAAAACATATAAAGCTGTGTCTATGTCTGAATCATCGAATCTCTCCGAATCAAATCGGAGGTTTCCGGTTCAATTCGGAGAGATAAATGGGTCTCCTGATTCGATTCAGATTTGGAGATTTGGCCGCTGAATCAGGCCGCATCTGCTTTGAATTGAATCGGTGACCAAAGCTTTATACAGCCCTACTACTTATAATCAAATACCACTGTCTGCTTGGGGTTGCTATGTTAATTCTGCATTGCTGCTGCGTAAAACCCTTGTGTACATTGAATTTAGCATCGGTGCCTAATTAACTGAAACAAATTAGGCAAAATATGAGCCATCTGGAATTAAAATGAACCTTCCAGGTTTATCAGTGGATTCATTTTATTAGAAAAGTACATGTTGCTTTGATTGTTTCTTAAAATAAATCACTCTAAGGCAATGTGCTACTCTAGGCAGAAATTTCTTAGACTTTTTCTTCTTTCTTTTCTCCCTCCCCCTCTAGTTCATTATCCTTTCACTATACAATTTGTTAAAAGTGTATATTTTTGCATTATTTGTCCTTTTCAGATTTTTTTTTAAATGTCAGTATAAGGTTTTTGTAGAATCGCTAAATAATTCTATACATTGTTGCTATGAATGTTTACTTTGTCACCCTCCAGTTAGTGCTGCTCAGTTCTAAGCATTCTGAATTCCTTTGATATAATTCCCTATCTTTCACCCTGCACTGCATCTGGCAGGTTTGAAATGGACTGTGATGATTTTTTTTGAAGATGCTCTCAAAGGAGATAGTGTAACGTGACATTGCAACTATTTCTGCAGGGAATGTTCATGGCTTCTCTCAATAAATGAAAATGAGTTATGCTTTTCAAATTCAAAGTCCCACATTTTTGTCTGGAAAAATACATAAGTTATCATTAAATAATTCACTATATTTCAGGAAATGTGTAACTAGATAATAAACCAACAAAATCCCTAAGCTCAGGCCTGCAGATAAAATGAATAAATGCAGCCCTGTTGACTTTAGTGGAGCTGCACAGATTTACACCAGCTGAGAATCTAGTCACCTATCCTTAAATCTGTGAGATTTTGGCCTTGCCAGTTCTGACATCTCTATTGATAACTAGCCAAAGTTTTTTCCTCTACTGAGAGGGACCTTTACCTATACCTCCACAAACACACATTAACACATTTGTGTTTTTTGTGTGCATTTATGTATGTCTCTAGTGGTGTCTTTATAGGTTTCATTGTCTTATTCATTGATTTTTAAAAAATATCTTACAGAACCACCTCGACCAATAGCACCTCCCCAGTTACTTGGTGTTGGGCCAACATACTTGCTGATCCAACTGAATGCTAATTCCATAATTGGTGATGGACCTATTATTCTGAAAGAAGTGGAATATCGAATGACATCTGGAACTTGGACAGAAACCCATGCTGTCAATGCACCAACTTATAAGCTATGGCACTTGGACCCAGATACTGAATATGAGATTCGTGTTCTCCTCACCAGGCCTGGAGAAGGTGGAACTGGTCAGCCAGGCCCACCACTTATTACCAGAACCAAATGTGCAGGTAAGATCTGCTTTTTTGTCCATTTTCATTGTCATCATGGTATTTCTATAGCACCAGTTCGACTTTTTGGCATGCTCATCCATCTCAAAGCTGCTAGGCTGACATGGACTCTATTTCCTGTTTGTACACATTGGTTGGGTCAACTAAGTTTCCATGTGTTGATCTTGGGAACTAGAGAGCCCCATACCTTGTTACTTTCCCCTGACAAAGATGGAACATTACTCATCTTGCAAGAAATCCAGTCATCAGATGTTTCTTTCCCTGTTTACTAATTGCAGTTGTATTGAAACAAGATCCTCTTCTCTTAACAGAAGAATTGCCAAAAATTGAAATACACTTAACTTGTTTTTTATCAAGCAAAAAATGTATGCGTCCTACTAGCGACTCCACCACATTATTTAAAAAAATGGTTAAAAGTTATAAGGTCATCTACATTTGAGTTCTCTCTCTCTATCTCTCCATTTCTACTACATCAAGTAAATGCATTGTTGCCCACTCTTGTGATGTTCAATATTTCTCATAAAGTCTAGTTTCTGAACTCAGGTTAATGCCTGATGATTTAAGCTTTCACTTAAAAGAAAAAAATATACTAACCTAAAGAATAAAAACTAGTGAATATGAACATGGAAAGTGCCAGTATCAGGAGACAAAAATAATCCATATATATTTGTCTGTCTGTCTCTTCAACCTAATGACTTTTTAGGGTATGATTTGTGATTTTTTGAAAGTTTGGATTGGTAGTACTGTAGGTATAAGAAAAAGAGCTAGGAAATATGCTATGCAAATTTATGTGAAAATGTAGAAGAAAAAAGTCACAGTGGCTTAATTCCAAGTCTCTTATGTTTATGTAGTAGTGGGTGCATCTACACGAGATGCCTTACTCAAGATTAAAGCAAATTACTGTGCAGTAAGCATCACCGTCTCTGTATGCAGACACTTACTGTGCAATAATTTGCTCTAATTGTGAGTAAATTTGCTACCAGAAAATACAAGTAGCACGTTTACTCGGGAGTAATTACTGCACAGTACAGCACGTGTAGACGGCTGACTGGGAACAAATGTTCCCTGCACTAGGACGCTCCCTTCAGTGTCCTCCTGCCCCATCAGCAGGGAGCTCCTAGCCCCCCCTTCAATCAGAGAGTGGGAGCTGGGAGCAATCATCTCTCAGCCCCTGCCTCACTATTGCAGAGTGGGGGCTGGGAGCTCCCTGCTACCAGGGCAGGAGGACATTGTCTCCACCTGGGCTCTGGTGGTGAAGCCTGCTGCAGCAGCAGGCAGCTCCTGGGGGCAGGGAGCAATCCCCCAGCCCTCACCTGGAGACAGGTGTCTCTCGGCCCCGTGCTCCATGCCAGCCCCTGGACTAGCACCCACAAAGAGCATAGAGCTCCCCCTGGCTGATGCCAGGGGCCAGTGCAGGGCCGGCAGGGGCAGAAGAAGCAAACCTGCTTCCATGTTCCTTCATGTATAGATGCCTGCTTGGGGTGAGGTTTCCTCTAGAGTAAATTATTCTAAAGTAAACCCACCCTGGACCCTTTGCATGTGTAGACACACCCAGTGAGAGCAATAAGAGAATGGGCAGTATTCAAACTCTCTCAGTCTCTACATAGAATGAGTTTGAGTGGCTTGAATGATTATATTACATACATACTGTATAATATTTGTGTGTGTGTTTGTGTACAAATATATATATATTCATACATGCAAACACATACACACCCACTATATATATATATAGGTTTTGTGTGTGTGTATATATATATATATATATGTTTTTTATTCTGTTTAGTTCTCAGGAAAGAAGTCAGTGAGCTAATAGCACATAAGTGTCATCAAACAGAGCAGGTGAACGAGTTCATATCCCAGAAAATTAGGCTAGTAGGACTTGATGCTGTTTTATTTTTAAATTGAGCACCGCATTACCTAGTAGCTCTTGGCACTTTGCTCATTTAACCTCCTAGACAAACAACTTCTCAGCCTAAAGCATTGCTGAAACTGCAGGCAATTTTGAAAAGTGAAATAGTTAACCTTATTTCTAATTTAGTAGTATATTCCTCTCTTGCAGAGTGGAAGGATTCATGTGTCTCATCTCGGGTCAGATGACAGCCATTGATATCTAATCCAGATTAAAGCATTGATTGAATTCTCTTAAATATTTTAGACATTGCTCCAAAAATATGGTGTAGACATTAGAAACAGCTTTTATATTAAAGAGTTCTAACCAAGACTCACAGTCCAAATTATTTCTTCTCATCCCTCAAATGGTATAATTTCCTTTACCAGAATGTGAAAGACTGAGATTGCCTAACATGAAGGGAATTCACAATATATTTGAGGCCCAAGTTGTCTTTAACTTGAAATTTAAGGGCAACGAAGTTGGTGTAATTTTTAAAGTATTATAATATGCACATTTATATAAAACGAAATCTTAACATATTCTTAAGACAAATATGTGTCATTCTATCCACATGAATTAACTATATAAAAATAATACTTACATTATTTTATGAAAATCCATTGTTATTTTAATGCTACAACTTTGAAACAATAAACAATAGAATTAGCAGTTATCCTAGTGTTTTTGATTCCATAGTAGCATTTGTCATATCCATTTTTTGAGGGAAAAACATTGGGACAAGTTGAGAGTGAGTTTCACAAATGGACATAGGCATAACCTGTTAAGCTTTCCTGTGCCTAAAAGAGAAGTGCTGATATCCAGGTGCCTCCTCTTTAAATGGGCCCAGTAAAGCATCCAGGGCTGGAAGTCACAATGTCTAGTTTGCTGCATTGGTGAACATGTAAGCCAGCCAATAGACCATGTTGAAGAGAGCTGTGTATGTCATTCCTTTCCTAGACTTAGACAGCAGTTAAGCACTTCTTCATCTTGAGTCTGCTGCCTACCCAAGCAGGTCCCTCTGGAAATTTAAGCACAAAAGTGCCTAACTTGTGAATAATAAATACTTTTAGGTGAGACGTAAGTGCCGAAGTGCTCATCTCAGCAAAGATGGCAGTCCCTCTGAATATGTAAAGTAGCTGAACTTTGGGTGCCTAAGTCAGTTTTTACCAAAAACAGTAGACACCTGGAGGTGTGCTTTCTTTTAATCCCTCTCTTTGATGTAGCGCTTAACTTTCTCCTAAATTCTAGTTTGTGTCTGAGTTCCTTTGCAAGTCTCACCCTGAGGGGCTTGCCCAAGTTTGTACAGTTGTGTTCACTGAATCAGGATGGAAGCCAGCGTACAGGTCTTTGCTCAGTCCATTCAAGACCAGAGTTTCTTTCTTCTCATCTCACAAAATGATAAGGATAAACATTTATTTTCAAGAAAGGCCACCCCAAAGGTCTCTATACCTTTGTGCTACTTGTAGAACTTGGAAAAATCAACATAAAGTCTAAATAATATTTATTTTAAAGCAACTCTCTTTGATCTGATCCTTGTCTTTAGAAAACAAATGATGAAAGCAAAAAGAAGGAAAGAAAGTTTAAGAGCAAGGAAGAAGCCAATAAAATAGCTAACAATGTGATATCCTTGGCGAGTAGTGTTACCCTGGTGACTCCCATGTCACTTACTGTGCTGCTCTATAATTACATCTTTGCATCAGTATCTTTTTTGGAAAATCTCCTGTTTTCCAGGTCGGGGTGGCACAGGCAGCCTCTGTATGGCAAATGGCAGATCTGGGAGGGGTCAAGTAGGTCAGCACAGTGGCATAGAGGACAGGGAGCAGGAAGTAGAGCAGCAGATTAGGCCAGGGGAGGATGTGGGGCTAAATTGTCCCATGCTTGCCAGAAAGATTGTCTCACTCTCTTAGGTCTCTTAGGTTTGATAAGTAATCAAACAAGATTACTTATTTTTCACACAGTATCATTATTCTCTTTGTCAATGTTCTTTGTCAATTTTGTAGTCTTAAATTACTCCCAAGTGTTAGCTTCAATTTTGAAGCGAGTTATAATTGCTAACCTGTGTAACATCAAACTCAGTCACTGGAAATAAATGGAATTTCAGTGGAAAGCTACTTCCCTTTACTACACAGAAATAATTGTGCATTCATGTTGATTTGTTGGTTTTGAACATTTTTTGTTCAACTATAGGTAATAACTAGTACATTGACTTATTAGTAAAAATGTGTTAGTAAAATGCTACTGGCTATTTTATTTGGAGAATGAACAGTTGTTCATTTGTGTTTATTTGTGGGAGCAGAGTGAAAATGACTTTTACACATAGTTTGTTTAGAATTTACAAATGCCGTGACATTTCAGAATAATGTATTATTGATCTATTAGTCTTGTGTTTTGCTAAAACATCTTTTGAGCAATTTGAAGTATGATTAAACTTATTCAAGCATCATTCATGTACTTTAATTAGTAGGTGGTAAGAGTAGTCAGTGATGCCATCTTGACTGAACTAGAGCAATGGCTGGTAATTTATTTTTTTAAAAGATGCTAAAGGAAAAAGAAGAGGAGGGGTGCAAAACGATATGGTTTGCCTCATAAAAGTCATTACACAGAGCTTTTGTGTAACCTGAATTTACTACGCGATTTTCCCCATATTTTAGCTGAGTGACTACATAGATGCTGCTTTGCCATGTTACATCCATCTGTGGGTAATTAAAGGTATTACTCAACAATCAAATATATGATACAACTGAGTGTTTTTAAACAACAAAAATGAGATTAAAACATGCCAAGCAAAACATGAGCTTCTTACATTATCCCCCTTAAGAGACAGGGTGTATTCTTTTTATTTCCACTTTTAAGCCCATTTGCTAAGCACAATAATGTGCTCCAGGGTGTGTGTGGTTAGAGAAAAGTAATTACATGCTGCTGATTTTGAGGACCCTCAAAAACTATCATGCCTCACAATGCACCTGAAGTGTGTGATTATTTCAGTACATCTACATGGGCTGTCTTGTATTATGGTTCACATAATGACTTCTCAATCATTTAAAAATAAAAACAAAATAAAATAAGAGGCAATGAGATTTTTTTTTAAATAGGAAGTATGCACAAT